ATACAAAATATTTCAAATTACTGTTTCATGATCATTATTATTGTCTATGAGATATGTTAATTGTTATCTTACAAACGAGAACAATACAGAGCATAATATGCGTAACCTCTTACAGGTACTTATTCAAAATTGTATCTTGAAAATTCATCAAAGTGTTTAGCCAAACTTTACAAATGTATTGCTTAATCAAGAAACGCCTTATTTTAGATTATATAAAAAAAAAAAAAAAAAACAATTTTCATCAGAAATCAATTTTTAAATGTAAACAGAACACAGCTATTTAAAAATAAATTTCGTATTTAGACTGGAAAAAAAAATAATCCGTTATGACGAGGACCATAGTTTTTTTTTTTTTTATGATAAATTACTGTATAAGAACGTCACAATCCATTTTTTTTTCTTCAAACAGTACATATGAAAATATTCTGTTTACAAAATTTACGTTTTATGCATATGATATGTGTATAGTGCCGCGCCGTGTATTTGTTTTCCATACCTACAGTGAAAAGCTTCTTCCGTACACATTAATGAGTTTTGTAATGTCTTGTATAACTAAAACGTGGAACGAATGCAAAATTAGGGATGTTCGGAAACGAAAAGATAATCAACAGGTAAACGGCTAAGATTCCTCGGCACTCTCCTTGGCTTAAACACGACTTCGGTAAATGCATTTTTAACGACGGCCACGGTGGCAGCAGCGGTACCGGCTTTCTGTTATACACTGAGGTGACGTGAGAGAAGAAACAAGAAGTGTTTGAAAAAAATAAATATTACCATAAAATATGAACGTAGGAAGGAACGGTGTCTGCAGGTGTTCAAATATATATACATGTATAATTACTTAGTTTCGAGAAGGGTGAAAAAGTTAAGCCGATATTTCCACAGCAGAGTTCCATTAAATTACATTTATATTCTTGCCGAAAGCAATGGCTTTATACACAAAAGAAGTGATTTTAATTTTACGACGGCCAAAATATATTTTGTGGCTTATGAAAAACACCCTCTCCCCATGAAACGCATATTACCTATGGCTATAATTGGTATATCATTATCGCGTGTGCTGTCGTGTGTTCACGTTAAGTCATCTTCAGACAGTGATCGAGTGAATCATTATGGAGGAATGGTGTTTGGGGATCAAATTTTTATTATCTGATATTTTTCGTAGGACTTTTACGATATTTTAATTTGTAAGGGACACTGTTATAAACACTGTTTATATTTTAGTGTTTTACATGCTTATAGTTAGATTAAAAAATAAAAATATTGAACTAAACCGATGAGAAATAAAAGGTAATGTACTTACCTCTAAGTTTGATTATAGGTTAGAGTAAATTCGTTTTAATATTAATGCTAACAAAACAAAACTGATTCTGCTAAACGCAAATTTGTTACATTGTACCTTTATTGTAAAACGAAGACAACACAGAGGTGGATGTAGTGTTCTATTAACGTAATATTATAATCAATCTATTTTTATTTTTTGTCCTAACTATTAAATTGGTTGCATAAAAATTGATTCATTTAAAATATTTTCTATACTACCAAAACTCTAAAACGTCGAGCTTGCAGATGACGCACCACCCTTTGCAACAATGGAGTAATCAAATTTTTTTTTGTTAGAGGAGGGTTTGTGCATTTAAGTATCATATTATAAATTATGATAATCCTTAAAAATCATTATTTATTAAGTATACCTAAGTTGGTAAAATGAAAACAATTTTGATTTATTTTTTTTTTTTTAACAAATTTGTATTCAAGTGTAATTATTTATTACACTAGAGTTCATCTCCTAGAGTTCACCAGTGACTATATTATAATGTATAAGATATTAATTTTTTTTTCATATTATCTTAAAGTAACAGTTTACATACAATTATATTTTTGTAAAACAATTGTGTTTCTTGTTTACTAACACATATGATTAATCACAGATAATAGAAAGAGGATATTTAGATAGGAGGGGACATGGATGGGACTCTACAATTGAAATTACAACGTTAAATATAAGTATATTTTGGTTACGTAAGATGTTGAATATATTCTATTAAATATTTGCATTTTGTTTTTCTCGATTATTATAGAACATTTTTAAATTATTAATATTTTTGTTTCATTTTTATCTGCTCTAAAAAGCGATGAGCAACATAACAATAAAAAAAAAAAACACCCGGTTGTAAATCAATACACAAATATCAATGCCCAAAATATAAAAAGTGTTAATTGTATATTGGATCCTTTACTTTAAAAAATTGCCTGGTTATTACACCATTGTATTAACGTCGCGATATCATATTACTATATTAACTTATTGCCGTATACGTATAAAAATATAACCGAGCGTGGTGTGCATTCGTATTATTATATCGTCAATGTTGTCACGGTCTATAGATATAGTTGTTTTGCAGTTTTTCCTCGTCTCATTCGTACCGATAAGTAATATTATATCGTATTCACGCGAAACGGATGATCCGTGTTTGAACAGCCGCATGATTATAACAATATTATGTACTACGAGTATATAACAACGGTGCTGTATTGTAGGACTATTTCGGTGACACGAACACCTAAATACAGTGCAATAATATTTTACAGGTATATTAATACGACAAGGCGAAACGATGCGCATTTTCGACAGAGTTGACGAAACATTTGACGTGACGTAGGTTTTTGATCGATGCGTTCGCATCGTCAGACCAAATGTTAAATTCTAGGAAATAATAATAAGTACACATGCCTATTGTATTGTCATACAAGCAGTACTAATTTGACAACTTGGTTGGGATGATGATGATGATCATCATCATCATGATAAATAAACACGTGCGCGACGAAATTTTTTCGCGAATCATCATCTATCCGTATCGGAAATACTGATGAATTGTTTTAAAATCGTGTTAAAAAAAAAAAAAATTAAAATAATAATATTTTACTTCTATAAAAATGCTAGCGGAATTTATCGTCCTAGACACGACAGTTGCGTAGTCAGTGAACCGATGTCTTAAAAGATTTGACGATCTTTACTCTTGAAGGTATACAATTATTATGCGATAAACACATTTTTAGAGGTCTTTTTAGTTTGTTTTTATTAACCCTATCGTTGTACTCATGTTATTATTTATTTTTATTGACAAATTTAATTTATGTGATAGTAATATGAATTATACTTCATGTTTCAAAATATTTGTAGACTACTTGTATTTTTTGTTTTAGTTATTATTATTATTAAAATTATTTTTTTAATTTAAATATTATGATGACTGAAGGCAAGAAAAAATAATCATAATAATATCGCAATCGAGTTAAATTTTAATGTTGGTGTATATTTATAATTTAATTTTAATATGGGTGTATGAATTAAATTCAGAAAAATGTTTTTCACATAAAAAATTTCATTATACATCTAAGCAATTGCTTGTGTCTGTACTGAAGTACAGGGATTAGGTACAAACTTGGAATGATCTACTATTGTTTATAAAATAAACTGACAAAAAAGTGCATGAAAGATTTTGTTAAAAAATGGGTTTCAGGTATTGGTACAAATGTACAATAAATCAAAACAAAAATGTATGCCTAGTAAATGTTACGTCTATTGAAAAAAACACTTATTATAGCTATACTTATACGATGAACCACCTACAACACATGATTAAGTATCATTTACGTCTTAAGTATTTTGCGTAAAATGGTAATATAATGTTTAAATAAAGGTTACTTACATAGCAGTATATTAATAAACTATATAATATACAAATGCTATGCTGACACGAGAGTATGCAATGTTTTTTAAAACATAATAACAGTATGTGTAATGTGTCGAATGATAACAATTAAAAACCTTTGTTGAAATAATGTATTTAAAATTAAAATAAAACGATAATTTTATTTGAAAACGCATTTTAATAAGGCTTATAAATTTGTATTATTGATTTTGAATACCGTCTCATAAAAAATGATTATATTGCCAATTATTTCAATAATAAAAACATAATGATTATTGGGCTTTCCGTTCTGAAAATGTAATATTGTATCTTTTACTAATTATTCTGTTATCTTTAATTACATTATTTGGTAGTTTAATAATTTGATCTACTAAAAAAAAAAAATTACTAGCTATTAAAAAAAAATCTGAAATCCTATTTTTTAAATTAATGAATAAATATATTGGGAATTTTTACTATTTTTTAGGTTAGAAAACTATAAATTATTGTGAATTTAGTAAATATAAATTTACTAAATACTCGTACAATTCAAAATCATAAACGAAATAATAGTATCTTATTTATTGAAAACATAGAAATTAATTATTTTAGAAAACCATATTATGTATCATTTTTTATTAACATAAATTATTTTAAATGTTAAATATTTTCTTTTATAATTGTTTTTATATGTAATACGTGTATTTAATACTTATCGTAATTTACACTCGTCATTAGAAATGATAAAACCAAAACATTTTAAATTTGTAGCCATAATATTGAATTTCTTATGTTTCTTATAAATTACTGAAGAAAAGTTAATCGTATTCAAATTTTGTCATTTTTTATGAATATAATGTGTAAATATAACATCAAAAATATAATTAATTTATAAAATCAATAATTAGTTATAGTTAAACGATGAATTATTGAGTTAATATTTTTTTTTTTTTTTTTTTTTAACAAAACTTGTGAATAAAATTTAAAAAGTTAACTAAGCACAATTTCTCATAATAGTTTATCAGGTAAAACACATAAAAATAGTTATTATTTGAGATTTGGTATAGTATGAAATATTTTATAAATGTCTTATTAAGAATATTAAATTTCGTTACTATTATTATAATATTTGGTAACGTGAATGATAAATTGCAAAACGACAATTTAATAAGTTGTGTACAATTTATTAATTTTTGAGTAGAAAAAACAAAACAATGTTTAAATTTATTTTTTCTCGTTATATATAAAGGTAATTGAATAATTATTAATGTTATTTTTTTTATATTCATATATTTTTTGTAGATAGTGGCGAACTATATTGGAAAAAATCAATCGTTAGAGTACGTGCCGGGCATGAGCATCCATTGGGCCGGTGGAAGAACAAGCCCACCACCGGATATACCAAGCTGTGGATTTGACAATTCTCTTTGCAAAAGTAATGACTTTCGTACCTACTTTAAGTTTTTCTGAGAGATTTCTTGTACGAGAATAATTGAACGTGTGTTATCTTCGCATTTGAGAAATATAAATATAAATATTTTTTTGCTAATATCAACATAAATTATAACAGTTTTATCTATATTTTACTGTTCCAATTTCACATTAACACATGACATTCATGATATTTTTTTATATTTTTATTATTTTCTCCTTTTTTTTTCACTTTAAAATCATTTATAAAGAAATCCTCAAAAAAATGCTCCTTCTGCCTTTTACTTTATGTATAACCATTACAATTATATATATTTATTTTTAGATTTATAATATCCTTCTTTTACCAATATATTTGTCCTTTATATTGAGTCTTTTCAATTTCAATGCCATCTGAAGTTTGATTTTTCTGTTCATATTTCAATTACTAATTTGAATACAGATTTTAATAAAAGACGATTTCGTAAGTTTTATTAATTTTTTATTTGGAACGAGTAAAATTAGTTGAAATATTCTATCATGGTATTATAAAATATATAATTTTCTTCTACTATTAATTGTATTTTTAAATTTTTTTTCTTATAACTTCGCCGAATATATCTTTTATAAACTTAAATTTAAAATTTATTTTTTATGATAAAACCTTATAATCTTTGATGTTAGTTAAGATAAACTACTCAAAAAAATATTTACTTATACTAAGAAGTAATAATATTTATTGTTAATGAAAATTTTGTGTATTGTATAAATAAAAAATATAATAAATATGCATTATTATTTTTAATTTTTGTTTAGCAATGCCTATTTATGCAACACTCAGTATAGTTCTCAGTTCAGCTGTAGTGGTCCTCATAGTAGTTGCATTTCTAATATACAGGTAATATATGAAAACATAGAAATTATTACAAATTTTAGTAGTACAATAGTAATAATTACTCAATTATAATATGAACATCGTTTAATTTGATCTATTTATTTTTATTATATGTGTATATAGTTGTTTATTTAATATAGCCCTTTATAATTTGAGAGAATATTTTCGTGTTGAATATGATTTTAACCGTAGAAACAGTGTATTTTTCCAAAATGTTTTCATGCTGCGTTTTCCCATCTCAAAAAAAAAAAAAAAGGAAAAAAAGGAAAACACTGAAAGCACCGGTTAAACGACCATATATTTTTTTTCTTATTCTTTGGCACGTATCCGGCTGCATTATTAATGGTCTAATCAGGATCCCCTTTCGTTGGAATTCGGTAGGTATTCTATGCGTGCTTTGAATCATCTAGAAGTATGGTTAACTATTATTCTCATTTTTACTATTTTTCAACAAAAATGATACCAGTTACTTGACAAGGTAAACTTAAATATTATACCTAGAACAGTTTTGTCGTATAAATTTTTTACATCAGTGATCTTTGAATTTTTTTAAATAATATATCTAGTTGGTTCTTTTATATTTTGTTTCTCCTGTCTATTTATATTTTTTAGTTTTTATTTAATTTGAATAATAATGAATGTATTTAAGGCATAATTTAAATAGTTGTATTATTACAATTTCAATATTTATATTATTTTTTGAAAAAGTGTAATAAAAAAAAAATTTAAATTGCTGTATCATTTATTCTTTATTTGAAATGTTGTTTAATTATAGCGTTTAGTTATAGTGTTTTAAAAATATCATAGCTTAGATTTAAATGATTGTATTTTTTTACATAAATAAATTCATCAGTATTTGGATTAAAATATTTGTTGTTGTAAGTACAGTTGAAATTCGCTCATATTTTCATTATTTAATATATCCGTAAAATATTTATTATCTAATTAAATATGTATAAAATACTGTAATAATGTTAAAATTTCTAAAATTTAACGTACTCTGTTAACCCTGTGTTACATATTATAAATAGATTACTATAAAATATATTCCCACAACTTAAATTATTTAGTTATTATAAAATTACAGATTGCTTAGAAGTGACAAAAAAACTTTTTTACTTGATCAAAAGAAATAATTATCTAATTTTCTTTCATAAGGTTGATAAAATAAGATTAATGTAATTTTTTTGTAAATTTATTCTTTGTTAAATAATTCAATCTATTTTATAGTATTAACAAAGCACTATAGAAACTAATAATAAAAATTCAGTATAAACTAAAGCACAGCACAGTACTGTTCATATAAAATATAATTAAATACAAATTATATACAAATTATAAGTAGTTATCTATAGTATTTATATTTAAATAACATTTTTGAGATACGTTTTTACGGTATGATGTATAATTAAATCGTTATATTAAATTATTAAACATTTCAGTAAACCTTAATGAAAGCTTCTGAAATTCAGAAGAAGTTTTAAAGACTTAAATAAATTAACACTGTCGAAGGTCTTTTCAGTTTTCTTTAGGTATCTCATGCAGTTTTTTCTGATCAAATAATAAATAAAAAAGAAAAAAATGGAAAAGAAGTTTATTTGACCGCACGTAAAGACACGTCCCATACACTAACTTTTCATTACTAAACATTTATTATTCAGGTAAAGCTCTTATATGGATTATTTATGTTTACGATTCAGTGTCGGCGTTCTTATATATATATATATATATATATAGGTATTCGATTATTTTTCATTGTATTATTGGTAGTGTGCTTTTGCGAATAGTATCAGATCCTTTTCAACGATATAAATAATTCAGAATGATTTTTAAGCCATTCATACAAATGATACATTTCTTTTTCAATTTTTAATAATTGAAACTAAACTATTGAGAAAATTCAAAAAAACAAAAAATACTTTTATTTTTAATTATTATTTTTTAGTAAACATATCATTAAGATTCTGTTACAAAATACAATGTTATAAGAAATAAAATAAATGTTTATAATTGTTAAGGTGAGTAATATATTGGGATAATAATAAGGTGATCAATCTAATTCCGATATTATAAAACGAATTGATTATTTTTACAATACAGTAAATATGTAGGCATTAAATTGACTAGTACTGTGGTATGATTTTTTGATGGATTAAATGCAATTTTCTGTATTCATATATTTACATATGTCAAAGATTTACTATAATGGTGATACATTAATAGTTTTATGAAAATGTTGGTAGTATTGTTAGAATTTATTCCAATAGTATTTTAGATCAGTATCACGGTCAATGTGGGTATTTATGTGTGATTTAAATACGCTTTCAAATTACAATCCATAATTCATATATTAAACAATTGTAATTAATGTATTTTAATGATTTTTACAACAATAAAATGATTTGTTAATAGAATAACATTTATTAAACATGTGTTAAGTACCTACTAATTATATTGAAAATATTTAACTAATAATGGACAACAAAATATATTAATTATTAAATTATTATTAAGAAATTTTTAAATATATAAGTCATCCAAAAAAATATACATAACTTTATAGGTAAAAAAAAACACTGCAATGATATTTTTAGCAAACGGTAAAACTCGTGGAAAAAAATAACAATATTTTACTAATGACTGATAACTAATATTGTTTATATTTTAATTGACTTAATATCGTTTGATTACGTTCAAATATTTCTATAATTTATAATGTTTTTTTTATAGGATAAAAATATTGAAAATAAGACAAAATATATGGCATAAAAAAAAAAAAATAAATAAATAATCAAAATAATTGATTGTTAATAATTTTGATACAATATAATATATTTTATTCATATATTGCTAAAGTGTCACTAATGGGTGGCTCCTTTAATCACGTCTTTCTCGTCTGTTTTTATTTTTATTTTTGTTTATTTATGTACACTGCTCAGTGCTCACATATGCTTATTGTGCTCAATTGTACAGATTGCATATTACCTAATAAAAATTAAAAAAAAAAATATATGTATGAATTCCGTTTTATTCTTTATTTAACATTTAATATAAATAATTTCAAAGATTTATTTTCAGTGACCTTTGTTTAAGATATGTTATTCTTTTGTGGATTAATTTTTCACAAATCATATTTTAGAGGGAAATTTATTGTTATATTCAATTTGCATTAATAATGATAACTTTGTAACTTTTATCTAAAAAATAAAATAAGTTGTAACTTTAATACAGAATATTTTAAAGTTTCATAATTGTATTATATGATTACCACCAAAAGTAATAGAATTAGTATTTTAATATTATTAGTAAGGTACGTATTGGATTCATTCATTTTAATTCTTAATTTACATAAAAATATATTCAATTCAGGATAACCATTAACCATAGATTGATTAAAAAACAAGTAGGAAAAAATTAATAATTGTTCAATGTGTATAAGTGAACTTGAAATATATTAAAAACAAATATTTACAGAAATAAGAAATAATATGATTGATATAAAAGATTTAAATAGTAAAAACAAGAGACTATTGAAAAATCTAGACAATCATGACATAGAAAAAAAAAAATATTTTAGAATTTGCTAAATTTGAATTCAAGTCCATTGCAGTACAGTCTAATACAATCAAAGCATATTTTTAAAATTTATATTGATATTAAAATAGGCCGAGCATAAAATATAATATTCTATTGTGTGAAACAATTGCGTCATGAAAATTAAAAGTCTTAATAGTCAACCAAAATTGATGTTGTGGCTTGATAAAGAATTATTATTGACAATTAAATATAAATTAATGTAAAATTCATTTTTTTTTTTTTTTTTTTTTTTTAAGAACTATATGTTTAGTTAATAAAATTTTTTAATAATATGATAATTTCAACATTTTAATTTTTCATTATGGTTTTTAAATATTCTAAAAGACATACACCTAAATTATTTTAAAAAAAAACTGCAAATTTATCTGGGTAGTAAATAAATAATATCAAACCATTTGTTAATTAATTTGGATTATTTATAAATCGTGTTATTTAAAGTTGAAGAAAATCAAAATATGTAATTTGTCTAATTGGAAACCATTTTAATTGATTAAAAATGTATAACCTTAATATCAATATAAGGTATTATTTTAAAGATTTAAAGGACTTCATTTGACGTCAATATTTGATTTCCTCTTTAATTGTAAAATACCACGAAAGAATTTATTTTTAATACTATCTGAACTATCTACTGTCTCTAAGATTATTTTAAATTGAACTTAGAATCCGATGTCTTGTAATTTATCATGTTCCCAGATGATATATTATTGTCAGTAGTTTTGTACGATTAAAAATGCCTATTTTTATCAATTTATGTTAACTTGTTGAAATATGCATTTAAAGCCCTCTTTTTGGCTATGTTATCATCTGTTAATATCTGTATTCGCATTTTATTTGTTGCTATTAACTATCGTTTTGTGTTTGCGTTTTTATAGATTAAAACAATACTTAAGATTTTAACTATATTTTGTTTTGTTCGAAGTAGTTTTTTTATTTGTACGTACCGTCCAGAAAAAATAAGTAAATTAATTTTATTTTATTAATTTGATGGTGTATAATGAGCCTACATGTTTTAAATTTAATCGGAGCAATTTTTGAAATAAATTATCAAATTATCTGAAATTCAAGATTCGAATAATCAATAACCATTAAATTGTGTTTATTTTATTTTTATTTTAACATATACAAGTTTTCTCCGTATCACTATTATTCCATAAAGATTTAAAATAAAAAAAAGATATTGAAATATTTTGATTTAAAAACAGTAATATTTAAGTAAAAAAATTGCGCTGAGTAAAAATTGATTATGTATTCGATATTGTACATATCTATAAAATGTGTGAATGATATATGTGTGCTTATTTTTTGCAATACTCATTAGCACATTTGGTAAATTCCCTATACTATTATTATGTGATGTTCCTCGACTGAAATTACGATTTTATTGTGAATTTAGAACATTAAATATAGTAAATACAACACAATAAATAAAGTCATTATAATAAACATATAACTACTATCAAATGTAGAAATCAAATAATGTACATATTTTACATTATTAAATATACATTTATAATTTTATTTATACATGTTTTACTGAAAAAAAGTTATCATGCATGTAATTCGGTTTATATTTTAAATAGAAACCAATAATATATGAATATAAAAGTACTTGGAAATATATTGCAAATGTAAATCATGAATACATATGTGTGTCTATGATTTATCTGAAAAGTTTTTAGTATTTTGCGTTTAAACTTTTAATAATTATAGAAGTGCAAACATACTTTATACTTTTCATATTGTATTGTAAATGTTCTATTATATTTTGTTTAACTTTTATTGAAGGTTATGTCTTATATTAAATTTTAGTACTTACTGAATCAAGAAACGTATACAATCCACGGTTACTATTCTTAGTAATCGATAATGATATGACTTCGATGTTTCTGGTCAGAATATAATAAGTCAAACATGGTGTAACATATTATAATTTATACCTTTTTTACATGTTAATATTATTATTACGAGATAAAATACTGGAATCCTAAAACAATTTAAAAATACAAAAAATTACGTTTGTGAACAAATATCATCTAAAAGTTTTCAGCAAAAAAATAAAAAAACTCAAATTAATGTTAAAAAATACGGATGAGTTTGGGTTTTTGTAACCAAATCATAAACTTTTATTGTGATAGGTGTTGAGCACTTTTAAGCACAGTTATGAAAAGTTTTACGTGGTTGTTGCATACTTAACTTCCTTTATATTATGACTGCGAAATTCACACGAACAATATTATGAAAGTAATAAATCTTTAAACAACTATACTATTCATAAAATGTATACAAATGTCGTAGCATTCATACTATCAATTTGCCATTGTATACTTATAATTTATTTTAAAGTGATAAAATTAATATACGTTATTATTTAAACTGAAATTAATTTAGTTTTTCTAATTTATTGTATTGTGTACATATATATTTTTAATTTTTAACAATAGTTTCGGAATATTTATTGTGTTTCAGTTATATTGAAATTGTTCTGATAAAATGGTTTGAATCAAATCAATATATTAAATAATTATACACATCATTTTTTCTAGCATTTGATTTTCAATCTATAATACTTATGTAGTGATTAATATACATTTATAAATGTTTATTTAATTTATTAAAATATATATTACAAATATATTGTATAACTATAATATAACTTACATTTCCCTGTTAAAATATAAAAATTATGAATGTATAAAACAAAGTAAATATTTACATTGAAGATATATATATATATATATATATATATGTTATGAATTGTGACCTAAGTAGGTGGAATTATGTTAAAATAAATAATTCTTTTCAACCTGACATAAGAGATAATAATATATGTATATTATTATCATAATAAATACTTGATGTATTCCATAATGTTTTGTATTTTTTAAATTATTTTATTTTTTTATTTTTATATTAGACTGAATCAAAACAAAATGTTGCGTATTAAGTAGTATCTAATGTATAACATATAATTTAATTTAATTCTGAAATTAATTATCCTTATTAAATATTGATTGGAATCTATTATATTATTATTATACATGAAATAATACTTGTAATAACGTGTTATTTTCTATTAAAATCAGTAGTGTAAATACTTTATAGGTAGTAGTCGTCAATCCTCATATCTTTGCTATTGGTATAATTTGTCAGTGATCATAAATATTTATGTATGGATATCTAAAATAAAATAAAATAAAATTGTGCTAAAAGTGATTATTTATGTACATAATATATTATTAAAAAAAAAAATGTCTACCATGATTATTATATACAACATTAAGGCAACGAGCACTGAAAAATTGTAAACGTTTAGTCTGAAAAACTAGTGGAAATTTACACATGTCGTATCATGTTAGATTCTATTTGTCTGCGGTTAATGTCAGTAAATTTGTTCCTACAACAATCATTTACTCAACACATGTGATGTGTATAAATAATGATATTAAACTATGAAGTTTTAGGCTCGTATATTAAATGGAAAATATAGTTGAATTTAAACATATTTTGAAACATATTAATCGATTTTGAACAAACTTTGTTAATTTAAATAAATATCCTAACGTTTAATTTATGTTTTATTTTTAATATTATTTGGTTCTTGTAGTACAGTGTGTTATGATATTATTTTACACTGAAAAATCTGTAATGGAACACGTTTATTGTACGTTTTATATTGGTTAAGACATCTCATATGGTAATCAAACACTATTATTTTGTTAATCATCCAAAGATTTATATAATTTTAATGGTTATATGTTTGTGCTTAGTTCACAAGAAATGCATATACAATATACATATATTTAATGTAGTATTAAAATATTATTTAAGTAGTGAATTCCTTTATAATTTATATTTCATCATTAAGAACTTTATAGTTATTTTTTATAGAAAAAGTTTGCTTTAACAAATATAAATTTTAAGTTTACATATGCTAAAAATGTTCTTACTTTTCTAAAGACTGATAAAAAGGTGATTTCTCTATAATATTTTGTTGATTTTTTAGAATTAGGTGACATAATAGTTAAAGTAATTGAAATTCATAGTTATAAATTATTTTATGATTAAGTATAGTTTTTTGTTTATTTTTTTTTTTTTTAATACGCTTTTTATTCATGTTAAATTATTTTTGATACAACAATTTTTCGGTAAACAAAATTAATAGGTAAAATAAAATAAAATCGATACGTAACCTGCAAATATTCATTATATACTTCTATTGAATATGTTTAAGAGCTCCAATGGCTAAATGTAAAAATATTTTAGTGGAAAAATATTTATTTTTTTCAAATATTTATTTATAGTTTACAGTTTTTAGCAAAAACTTTTCAAAAAATTGTTTTTACGTTTCGAAAATATGGTTGATTAAAATTTGTTTGACATGAAATTGACTAAGCGTAAAAATAAAATGTATATTATTATAAACGTATATTATATTATTGTTTTTTTAAAAATATGATTAAGACAGTTAAATAAAACGATTCAATATTTAAAAAAATAATAAAATATATTTTTTAAGTTAGCTTTCTTTAATGCAAGAGCCTTCAACCTTTTAAAATGGCAGGCTACCTATTATTTTTTTTTTTTTAAGCTCACCGTATTCATAGTACAAAAACGTATTTTATACAAACATTTAGTTTAATTATTATAATTTTTATGATTAAATTTTGTAAACTATTACTATTATTAAAACATATTTAGTTTAATATATTTCAATTTTGAAATACAATTATTTGTTTTAATTTTAGTAATAACTAACATTGTTTTTCACTAACTAATTTTTCTATATTTGGTTGTATCTGAGGTGATACAATTCTCAGCGAGTTTTTGAAGTAAATATCAATTAATCGAGCTCTATTTTTCGATTTGACAATTTTTATTCGTGAAAAGATATGCTCACAATTGTAACTACTATCAAAAAAGACATAATTTTTGATGCATTGTTTTTAAGATTAATATAATATGTTTCCATGTCAATATATTTAAAAAAAAAATTGAAAGTTCAACGTTTTTGTACTTTTCTATTAAATTAATATTATATTATTATTATGAATAAACAGACAACAACTAAAATATATACAGTTTATCTTATCGCATATTCTCTAATTTTTTCGATAGCGATGTCTTAAAGCTTAAATAATGGCTTATAGTCATTCCAATTTTATTAAATATGTTCGCGGGCCGCAAATAATCATAAGAAGGGCTGCAAGCCGTGGGTTGAAATTCTCTTCTTCAAAGTAATATTGTGAGAGTATAATTTACTATAACAAATACAGTTGCTTTATTATAAACTAATAAATTATGAGTGTCGTTTTTTTTTTTTTTTAAACAAAAAATAATTTTCTTTTTAAAATTGACTTAAAATTCTATTGATTTACATAATACACATATTTTATATTTTAATAAAAAATAATAGCTAAAAATAACTATGAACATTTTAATATTTTTGTTTCCAGACATTATAAGCTTGAAGCTGCAATTGCATCCATGACGTGGAAAATTAATTGCAATGACATAAGAATGCCGCAGGAAAAATGTAGAACGAGCTCGACAAGTATCAATAGAAGAAACAGCCAAAGGGTAAATTATGCAATTATTACGTTTTGTTGTGCTTTACAACAATCGAAAATTATACACAGAGAGGAATTCGTTTTTTAATGTTCGTTTATGTTTCCGTGTCGTTTCCATGGATTCATTTGTTTTGTGATGCATATTGTGTACGATTACCAAATTGAGGATGGAATTAATGATAATAATAATAAACATTATAATAATAACAATAACAACAATAATTATAATAATAATAATAATAATAATAATAATAATAACAACAGTAATTATAATTATAATAATTTTCGAATTTATTAAAATTGCTTTATTACATTTGTATTTTGATTGTAAAACTAAAACTTATACTCCATTGAAGTAAAAAATAAAAAGTAATTAAAATTTTACTCTTACTAATCATACTTTAAATTATCATATGTTACAGTGAAAAAATCGTATAATTATTTACCTATGATGTTTAAAACAGATTCGATCAAAAAATAAAAATAAATCTTAGAAGAATAATAAAATGTTGGTATTCTGAAAAAAATAAATAGTGTTCACAAATTTTAAAAATACAAGTCTTTGAGTTATACTAGTCCCTTAAGTAAAATTAAAAAACTTATAGAATGAAAAATGACATACTTATCTAATTAAAATAGTTATATTGATTCTTCATAATATATACGTGATTGCGGAGATGTGGGAAGAATATTTAAAGAACCTTTGTATGTGGTTAGTTTTGTATAAAGATCCGCATTTTATTCAATATTATAATAAAACCTACAGAAAACGAAAACTATACTTTGTTCGCGTCACCACATTTCGGGGGTAAGTATTTTTAGCTGCCTTAAACATTTACGATGTGAACCGAATTTCAAAGTAGATACGAGGACTTTGCTATCAATTTCCAATTTCGCGATGCATTTTTTTTTTTTTTTTTTGTTGTTTTTTATTTATTAACTATTTTATTTTTTTTTTACATCAATCAAATTTTATATCCGTATTTGCTACTTTTCGATTTGTGACCGTGTCAACTATTTGATTTCTGCAGGTTCTATAGGGTTTCTTTTAAAATCAACACAGAAATTTATATACGTATATATATATATATAACCGGTAACGCAGTTTTAACCACCATCAGATGAATATGAAAACTGAATAGATTGTAACGTGCCTCACTAAATACCATCGAGATATATTTTCATAAAAAAAAAATATAATGTTTAAGAAAAAAATCCAGGAAGGAATCGATTTGCCTTTAAACTCAACCCTCTCATCGTTCCTATACTACCACGCGTACCCTTATAATTTTCCATCATCACACTTACACGATATAATACAACATACTTTCACCAATATCATAACATCTGCATAGCTTCAATTCTACCTTCTCACCGAAGCCGTAACAAACTACCAGTATGTAATAAAATATCCACGGAGTAGTAATAATATTACAATAAAATACACTAAAATATTCTATTATATGTTATTGTTTCGTTACATTTTACAAACATTTTATTTGCGTACTTCCTATTGTATTTTAGTGTTTTTATTCCACCACGTTAACTACTCGGTAATTGGTTCGTGGTGTATATACGTTATCGTACTTAAAACCTTCAATATTTTTTACCGTTTTTTTTACCTGATAATAATATGGTGAACCTTATAAAGAATAATTATATAATACAAATCTACATTTTTGCACGAATTTCAAAAAAGTTTATTACATAATGAAGTGTATACTATAATACTATATATATATGTATATATTATTACTTTTATTCACTACCTATATAATTTTGTTTTTTTTTTTTTTTCATTTGTAGACCGTCATATCAGATGACCTCATGAGCCTTATGAGTCAATGTGAATATGGACGCCAAATATTCATTCAAACAGCATTTTATAAAGTCAGTACCTAAACAGCTTTTCCTAATTATTATTCTAAATTTATAAATAATTATTTTCTGAAAAACACAATAATATTGTATATACCAAATGTATAGTTATTATTAAAATTTTTAAAATTGGTATTTTGTATACTTAAGTTCTGCATAGCTTCTTGATAATAAGTATTATTATTGGTTTAGCTATCATCATATAATTATACGGTAGTATATTATGTTACAAATAAATATAAAAAACCTTAATTATAATATAAATTTGTTTTCCATAATAAATATTGGTATACATTCAGGGGAAAATCGTTTTACTATATTATTAGTTAAAATTATACTTTATTGGTTTAACAAAAATGTTTTAATTAAATCAATATTTTGTTGAAAAATTTAAGTGTTAAATCTTATTTGTTGACTAAAAATTGAGTATATATTTATTATTTTGAAAAGATCAATTTTCTTTTCTTTCAATAGTTTTCTTACGCACAGTTAAATGTTATGAAAAGTATCTGTGAATAATTATAAGCAAGATTAATTTTAATCAATATATGTTCAGAATATAATTATTCATACCTACCTGAATAATAAATTATTATGATTTAAAATTCAAAAATTGCATGTTACAACCCAAATGTAATACACTCATTTCAATAACATACTACAAATAATTTTAAATATTTTATATAGAAATATGATTGATATCATAATAGTTAGTAGTTGTCATTTTTATTCAATTATTAATAATTAAACCCAACCGTGTATATTAATATACGAAATTTTGACATATTTTTCTAAAAGGTAGTTTAAACTATGATTAATTTGTTATATGTTATAAATGTTTTTTTTTTTTTTTTTTTTTTTTTTTTTTTTTTTAAATTTTTTTTTTTTTTTTTTTTACATTTTTTATATTGCATATATTATATAATCTGTAATTAAAATTTATAATAAGAATAGTATGAGCTCGACCAAAAGAAATAATATATATTTTCTGAAATCTTAAGGAGCTACTCAGCAGTAATACTCAGACGCTTTACATTTGTTAAGTTATTTTATTATAAATGTTAAACAAAAAATAAAAATACTTTAAATTTTTAACATCTTTAAACATAACTTTTTTGTTATATAGACTATATTTTATTAATTACTGAGTAATTTTTAAATAACATAGTCAGATTAATACAATGTCAGTGTAATAACATTATATTTGATCAAGTGTTTTATTTAAAAATATTTATATGAAAACCAAATTTTTATTTAACATACCAAAAATATCATAATACTAATTATAGCACTCGTAAATCTGTAAAAGCACCTTCACTGAGAATTATTAAAAACGCACAAACGAGACATTTGTGTTTGATTAAAAAAAAAAAAAAAATGATAAATTACATGTAATTAAAATATTTTCGTTTGTATTATAATTTGGTTGAATGATGTTGTTGCTAAGTATTATATTCTGGTCACAATTTTCGTTTAAATAATATCAAGTATAATTATATTTTATAAAAAAACTTATGAAACATTTGTTTATTATCTTGGTCTTAAAAATATGAATTTTATCAAAAATGTGTGTTACATATAAAAAACGAAAGTCGAGAAAATCGTTGTTCAATTTCATCTTTGAATTATGAATGTTTAATTAGGTTTGAATTACTCGAATTAGTTGAATAATGCCTTTTAATCTTTATAAGAACTCTTGGCTAAGATGTAAGCTACTCTTATTAATATTCCAAGGCTTATTATAATTATACTATAGAACAAATTATAACGCCGCAAAACAATTTTCTAAGATTAAAATATTAACTAAAAAAACATTAATATTTGTGATACTTTAAAGAACTTTATGGTTTTTTGAAAATCTAATACATTAGGGTAAGGTTTATTATAAATATAATACTATGTATCATTAACTTTTCTTTAATACATAATGTTATGTACTGCTATATTGTATATTTTACATTGTTTTATTTAACAAGATATATTTTTGGTATTTCATCGACTGCTTACAATTTAGACAGGCAATATTCGTAAACATATACTTGTTCAATGTGATAATAACTAAACGTTAGCGTCTTGTAAAGAAACTTTTGATTCAATTATTTTGTCACTTAAGAATCAAGAGTTGAACGATTTAATCTCATTACATTACTTGATGTATATTTTTGTTTCAAATTCTTTTGACTTTACTTGACGCATAAGAAACTGATAAAAACAAAACATTATCAACTAAAAGTCTAAATACATATAACAGGAAATCTATTTTTTATTTTAGTTTTTACTTATATACATATAACTTGCATTTAATATATTATGTTAAAAGTTGGAACCTGAATCGTTTGTTTCTATGAAAACTTTATGATTAATTCAAATTTTTTTTATAAAAACTAGATTAAAAAATCTAAAAAGGATTGTAAAACAATTATTCTAACAGATTCTCCTGAACATTACTAAACAGTGACGTATTAGAATATTATCATATCATTACTAGCACAGGAGAATCGTACAAACAAACATTGGACATTTAAATTACAGAAGAAATTATAATAGTTATTAATGAGTTGAATAACTGAAAAACTTAATGATTGGATGGAATACCTGCAAAAAAAAAATAAATATAATAAGGTAACCGTAAAAAATTAGAGAATAAAATATTACACAAGCTACATTTAAGTCTAAAGACTACAAAATCAGTTGTCTTGTGAAAAATAGAAACAAAAAGTATCATAACAGAGGTATATAAGGTAATAAGCTAAAAATTATTTAGGAACACGGCATATGGACGATTTGGGAAGATTAAATTTAGGACACAAACGGCTGGAAAACAGTGGTGGTGGTTGCTAAAATTCTTTCAAAATATTTAAAAGCCATGGAATATATGGATTAATTAAAACCTAACACGTGTAAAAACATTTGGTTTTGAAATAAAATAGTTAAATGTTATTAAATTTATCATATTATATGGTATCACCGGAGGTAAATTGATCGTTATTTATATTGTGCCAAATAAAAGTTATCATGCTTAACGCAATAATTTAGTAGATAGGTGCGCAAAAGTAAAATTTATCATTTATCATCTATGATTAACTACGGTTATCTCATTCATTATTAGAAATTTCATATTGATCAATAATTTATTTTTCATTGTACGTCTCGTATATGTTACAATTTTTCCATAATATTATGTCGATACTTAATGGCCCCATGAATATAGCAATAATACGGGTCTGTACCCGTACATTTATATTGTATGAGTATTTCAATGGATTCAATGTACGTATACTGATCGTAGTAAATTTACCGCACCAAAATAGCTGGTGTCAAAGTTATTTGGTCACGTTAAAGTAAGGGTGGGTATAAAATGAACAATAGTATACTTGGGATGTCTTTTCTTAAGTACTTAGAAGTATTATTAATATTATACTTCACTATTTTATTTTTATTGTATTAAAGGGCAACGGTGGTACTACTAAAATCAATGCGAATATTTTAAAATGTTATAGTATTGATAAAAGCTAGTGTTATAGACTTATAGTGTAATGATAGTAATTTAATTAATTAAAATTGAATCTTTGAAATAATTATTTTTGTCAATCTGATATAATACATTTTATTTATTATAAAATTGATTGTAGTTAATAATTATGTCATAATAATATTTTATTTTTAAAATATCGAAGACATAAATTGGTACAAATTTATTTAATTCAAGGTATGTTACGATAATTTACAGTAGAGTCTCAATAGTTAGGACTCCTGATAATCCGATGAACGGGGTAATCCGGATAGCATAAGTCCATTTGTTCATAAATACATTTGTAGTTTGTTCGAAATTAAAAGTATTATTCAGAAAAAAAATAAATGACTACAATACTTAGGTTCAATTTATTATTATACATTTTTTTTTAAATTTTTTTTTTTTTTTGTAATTCATCATATTTAAGTTATTTATTATTTTTGTAACTTAAAGTGCAATAAATATAAAGGTGGTAAAATTAAAAAATAAAAATCTTATTCATTTGATTATGTAATTTTGAAAACTCTTGAAATCCTTGAAAAACCGGACAATGTCCGATCTGAATTATTCGTTTGGACTATACGAGTAGATGATCTACTATACACGCTTTTTTCAATTCAACTAACTGAATTGCTAGAGCTTAGAGAATAAGATTAAATTTTAAGGCATTTTTAGGTATGTAATAATTTTTATTTTAATCGTCATCACCACGTGGTGTTAGGCATGTTTTTCTTCTTATTAACATTAAATTCTAGAAAGATAACAGAGACTTTCTCATATCGGTTATATTATTGGTCTTGACTAATCTTATGGAAAAAGTTCAAAATAATTGAGTCCGAGTATGTTATGTCTTTGGCACAATCGCCGTGATCGTGTCGAGCGGTAGAATTTCCGGCGAAAGAAGCGGGGATTTCGACATTATCTTGATGATGGACTGGTATTCGCTGCGTCTGTCGTCTTGTTTGGTCGCTGACATCATCACTGTCGTTACATTTATGGTTACTGTTCACCGATAAGTTCGGCGTTGCCGCCGAAACTGACGTATTAGCGACATACTGGCAGCTTTGTCGTTGTTTTGGTTGTCTCCATTGTAATTCCGATTGTCGTTGCAGTGGTACAGTTTCGACGTTCCGTTGAAATCGACACGAGCACGTAAACGTCTGTCGGCCAAAGTCGTATGTATAGTGATCGTAGTTGGAATATGGTATGGTGGAGCCGATGTTGGTGTTAGAAGAAAACGCGGAGGTAGTAGGTTCGGACGTCTTGTACTCAAACCGGATGGGAGCGACTTCGTGATTGGAGTGATGTAACCCATGAAGTGTCTGCAATTGGATACGTCGTTCCCGGTTGCGGAGCACCCGTTCCCGGATGTGCTTTTCAGCGGGTGGTTTGGCCCATGACACGTCGATCCGAACGCCGGTCGCTTCGTCCACGGCGCCATTCAGCGCATCCATAGCGTCTTTGGCATCCGACCGACGTTCAAAATGCACGAACGCGT